TAACATTTTCTCGAATAATATACGTTTATAGGATCATTTTGGATGGATAATATAATGCAATCGTGTATGCCACCGGGATTTCGATTTCATCCAACAGAGGAAGAGCTCGTGGGTTATTACCTAGAGAGGAAGATCAATTCAATGAAGAGTGCTTTAGATGTCATTGTAGAGATTGATCTCTACAAAATGGAGCCGTGGGATATACAAGGTAAGCAAATTGGATCTTCTCTAATGATTATCATTAATTAATCTTTTGCATGGAATGGCAGTAACTTGTCTAGTTATAAAATGATCTTTGAAAACCAATAATATGACATGAATTTGGCATGCGAAGTGAATGAGAGAGCCTACTTTCTTTGACTTGTAAGATTTATAAACGGAGTGTGAAAAGAATATTACAAAGCAAAATTAACAGATTTAGTACAATCATACATCATAATACCTCTTTTGAAATTAAATCAGTTGAATTTTTTGTTGAAAGTGGGGAAGTAGAATCATATCATATATTATCCCAAATTTCTCTTTAACATTAAATTCCTAATATTTTGTGATGTAAGAAAGTTTTGACATTAATACATTTTCTGTTACATTGCAGCGAGGTGCAAACTAGGGTATGAAGAGCAAAACGAGTGGTACTTCTTTAGCCACAAGGATAGGAAGTACCCGACCGGGACTAGGACCAATAGAGCCACCGCGGCCGGGTTCTGGAAAGCCACTGGTAGAGACAAGGCGGTGCTTTCAAAGAACAATGTCATAGGAATGCGAAAGACACTTGTCTACTACAAGGGCCGTGCTCCCAATGGAAGAAAATCCGATTGGATCATGCACGAATACCGCCTTCAAAACTCTGAGCTAGCCCCGGTTCAGGTACATATTTAAAGATTCTAATTGATAGTCACTATCAACCCAGTCATCTAGAATCAAATAATACATTTATTATCTCGAATCAACCTAATTCTTATATGAATCTATTACAATTTAATTATTCTTATAAAATCGATCCAAACTAAACCTAACCGAACTAATCAAGAATCGATTTCTTAATTACTATGTATGTTTGTGAACCGTAGGAAGAAGGTTGGGTGGTGTGCCGAGCATTCAGGAAGCCGATTCCAAACCAAAGGCCATTAGGGTACGAGCCATGGCAGAACCAGCTCTACCACGTTGATAGTAGTAACAACTACTCATCTTCAGCGACAATGAACACGAGTCATCATATCGGTGCATCTTCATCGAGTCATAACCTTAACCAAATGCTCATGAGCAATAATCACTACAATACTAATAATGTATCCTCATCGGTGCATCAATATGGCAATATCGAGCTCCCGCAGCTCGACAGCCCGAGCTTGTCGCCGAGTCTAGGGACAAATAAAGATCAGAACGAGAGTTTCGAGCAAGAAGAAGATAAGAGCTTCAACTGTGTGGACTGGAGAACACTAGATAATTTGCTTGAGACACAAGTCACGCATCCACAAAACCCTAATGTTCTTATGTCTTCGTTCGAAACGCAGTCGTATAATCCGGTTCAGAGCTTCCCTTCCTTACATCAAAACTATAATGAGGTCGAAGCTAACTTTCATCATTCTCTTGGATGTTTCCCTGACTCGTAATTAAAAGAAAACTCTTCTATATTTGATTTGTATTCTATGATTTAATTGTTCCATCCATCTGGAAAATAACATTTATAACTGTCTATTTGTAAAAGAAAATTGTGTTTAATACGTAGAAATTTCGTCTACTGAAATTTCACAAAGGTGGAATTTTTATAAGTAGCCCTTTGGTTTTCTATATTCATTTTTATTTTGTTACCCGAATTTGTAACTCATCCCATTCTAAGCCTTTGATTTTTTTTTTTTAAAAGTGCTAATAAATTTATACCACAATGCACACTGAATTCATCAAGGAGAACTCGCATTTTTAGGAGACTCCTACTGCTCAAATCTCAATCCATGGCACCAAATGTGTATAATAAAAATCACACAATGCAAGATTAGAAGAGGATGGAACATAACTTACAAATGTTATTTACATGTGAAGAAGATGAAAAACAATTTTATTAAAAAAAAAAAGATGAACACAAAGTAAATGACCATATATAGTGAGAGCCAATTATAAAATAACACCATTTTTTTCCTAAAAAATGCAGAGTATTTTAAACTAAACATAGCTAGTTATTTTAAAACTATAGCATCCAAATAATTTTTTTTTTTTTTTGCCAAAAAACAAAAATCATAATCGTTTACCAAATTAACTATCTTCATATAATGAATCGATTTTGAAGTTCTAACCCTCTGGTCCATAGAAAAGGTTCTAAAGAAACTCCAATACTGAAGATGGAACAAAATGCTAAGGACACGTGTATTCCGTTAAAACATTTTTCCACCTTCCCCCTTTGCTCCTCC